AGAGGACATGCTTTCATGACATACCATCGTTTGGCATGGTCAAGATCGGTATTTGAGTTATGCTTCCATAACGTCCTTTCATACGACCTGCTCGTTCGAATATTGTTGCCAAATCTGTATACATATACCCTGGGAAGCCACGTCGGCCAGGAACCTCTTCACGTGCTGCCGATACCTTAATTTCAACCAACACTGTGCTTATTGATTTCTCATTCCATGCGGGCGCAGGTTCGGCAACGGGGGGGGGGAACATTTTGCACTTTCATTGCTTTACTACTCTTCGGTTTAACAAAGTTTCATCAGTGAAACCTATGAGTTCTTGTGAAGCTGGAGCGAGCTCGTCACGCCATCATGGTAAAACCTGTCCGCTCGAGAAGAGGCTGTCTAGATCTGGGATCTGGATAGGTCCTACACGTCGATGGGAAGTAGCGAAAGTTCAAGAATGCCGCCCGCGCACCCCCCCCGCGCTAAACAGCGGCCCACGGTACGAATAGGCAGAGATTAATTTTCTGGTTTATGGAAATAAACGTGAACCATACCACTCGAAGTGCTTCAGCGTACGCTGTCATGTCTGTCATAACAACCACCACATGTCGTCCACATTGATAAGCAAGAAATTCAGCAGCTGTGAGCGCCATTCGTGGCGTAAGTACTCTTTCAATTGTTGGATCGCTTGCTGTGTTCAGATACATGCACACATTCTGCATGTCTCCTGAAATCCAAGGGAGAGTCCTTGCTGTTCACAGCCATGCATTCCCCTTGCTGATAAGTATTCTACTGCTCATTTCTGAGCAACGCCCTCCTCAAAAGGCAAAAACTGGGCACTAAAACTTTAAAAGCTCAATTTTTCCCTTCGTAGAGTCATGATTTCACATGCTATTGTTTTATTTTATTGATTTAATTTATTTATTATGATAAGCCTAACTAATACAGTGCAGTTCTCAGCGGACGGTGGGGCGGTCCTAAGGCCACGCTGGCTAGCGTCCCGATATTTGCCTGTTGGTCGAAAGCCGCAATAATCTTGCCCCTGCGTCTCTGACACAGACTCTGCGCTCTAACACATCCTGCCGCGCCCTCTACTCACTCTTCCTCCCTGCGCTCTCGCCGATCAATACTGGCTGACGCTGTCCATCAGCTGATTCGCGCCGCATTTTCTCCAAATCCCTGCCGTATTCTGCTTGAAAAAAACTGCTATTTTTCGACTTGCGTCTTCAGTCGTTGAAGGTAAGTATTCTTACTAAAATTGCATCACAGTTTGCATGAAATTAGCTTGAAATTCCCCTAGAAAACATTTTTTTCCTTCTGATTTTCCCAATTCTCCCAAACTTTCCTTATTTTCCCCACTTCTTTTAGGTTATTGACCGGGTTTTCGAAGTAGAGTCTTAGATGTGATCTCGTTATTGTCGAGAACCATCTCTGACTCTGTTCTAAAACCCGAAGTCTCAATAAATAAATATTTTTCTACATTCAGCTTGGAAAAACTGAGGTTTTTCGACTTTCGGGTTCAATCGTTAGCGGTGAGTATTCTTACTAAAATTGCATAAAATTTGCATGAATTTAGCTTGGAACTCCCCTAGAAAGCATTTTTTCCTTCTGATTTTCTTCACTTATTCACATTTCTTCACAGGCGACTTCGAGCTTCAGAATAGAGTCAGAGATGGTTCTCGATAATAACGAGATCACATCTAAGACTCTACTTTGAAAACCCGGTCAATAACATAAAGGAAGTGGGGAATAAGGAAAAGTTTGGGAGAATTGAGAAAATCAGAAGGGAAAAAATGTTTTCCAGGGGAATTTCAAGCTAGTTTCATGCAAACTGTGATAAAATTTCAGTAAGAATACTTACCTTCAACGACTGAAGACGCAAGTCGAAAAATAGCAGTTTTTTTCAAGAGAATACGGCAGGGATTTGGAGAAAATGCGGCGCGAATCAGCTGATGGACAGCGTCAGCCAGTATTGATCGGCGAGAGCGCAGGGAGGAAGAGTAAGTAGAGGGCGCCTCGGGGTGTGTTAGAGCGCAGAGTCTGTGTCAGAGACGCAGTGGCAATGATGATGATTTCCTGGAATTTCTCGGCTTTCCATTCACGACGGCAATCAGCGAACGCTCGCCGGCGCTCGGTCGTAGGGAAGCTCCCCACAGTCCGTGAGCACCACTGTAGGCTGATAAAGCTACGCAAAGGTTGTAAAAGCACACCCAATATGTGGCAGTTCAGTCTGTCATGCTAAGTGTGCTTCATATATACAAAAGTGCTAATGGCGTCGCCGCGTAGCACTTTCTTATGATGGGATTAATCGTTTCGGGACAATTGTAATTCATGTGATTTCATCCATCACAATCACAGAACGATATTCTTACAAATGGGAATAGCCATGAAAAACGAAATCCTACGCGATATTCAAGGTGAAGTACGCACCGCTGAGCTCTTCATTTTCGCGATATGCGACTAACAGATTGGCTCAAATTGTCGCTTTACCTGAATCTTTTCAGAGGAGATTTCGAAGCGTCTGCTTCAATAAGAGGGTTCCATAATGTCAAGTTTTTTCAATCATAGCATCTGTAAAGGACATGGCAGTCATTCATCCATGCAAACGAGAGGGCGTGTGAAGGGGCGTAGATTGGGACATAGCCTGGGCAGCCCTTCTCGCCAACGGTTGCAGCCTCAGAATGGCACCAGTTGAATGAAAAAGGATGTGTGAACTGAAGCACTCATTACCTAAGCAAATACCTGGACAGCTTGCGTCCTCCACCGTCCGAGCAACAGTCTCGTGAACCTGCACGGAAGGAGGGCACGTTGGGGATCTCCAGAGATGTGTCTGTTTGTCGTTTTTTGGGAGAAGAGAAAGTCGTATAAAAAGAAGGAATTTGAGACGAGGGAGGGTTGTACCCTGCAGAAATTCCAAACGCAGGCATACCGCTACGCCGTAGGGCTCCACCCATTACGCCTGCTCTTCAGGCTCTCAAATACTGTTATACCTACATGAGGCACGGAGAACGTTGATGTAGTGCTTAAATTTCTCCTAAATATTTGCACCCCGCGCCGCGGGCCCCGCCTGAAAATAGCCGCTCGCAGAGGCTTGCTATCTGCTCATCACGCAAGACCTCTGAGGACCCCCTCCCACTGCTGCCACTTTATCTCCGTACTAAAAAGAGAACCGATTCTGAAAGCAAAGGCAGGTTTTGGCTCAAACAGTGACGCCCACCTCGTTCCTCAAACTCTTGCTTGAAAAATCTAGCAGTTGCCATGTTCACTCCCATAGCAGCGAATACGATCGCAAATTCGTGAGAAGATTCTTTTTCAAGAAGGCCTGAAAACTGCGAAGTGTTACCTGAAGAGATCTTCCTTTAGTGACTAAACCATTGATATCGCAGCAAGTCACTTGAGGCGTTCTAGAGGGATGTAATAAGCCCGCTCGCGGCATTTCCACCAGCGTTCATGACTGGTAGAGCAAGGCAGATGGAGGCGGCTTCGTACTGTGCCCCCCCCCCCCGCCTCCCCCGCCCTGCATCGTCCCGAGTGATTGCGACGCTCAACTACTATAAAGGAGGAGCCGGTGAGGGGGCTTCGAGCAGTGGGTAGGAATTGGTATTTTGCGGGGAAACAAGTTCGGGTTTGTTGGCTTTTTCCATTTCTCTAGTCTTATTCGCCTGCGGATCAAAGGCCTTTCACGGGGTTGAGTATGCCCAGAATTTGTTGGAGAGTGGAAGCTACCGCAGCTGCGTGAAAGCCGTTCAAGGCGCCGTTGTCAAACTTAGGCCCCCGCATCCTTGACCTGATGTGGCTCAGCTTCGCAGAGAACAAGACTGTGTTCACAGTTGTAGCTGTCTAGGGAACAGACTCTGACCAATGGGGGGAGGAGGAGGGGGCGAACGGCATACTGGCTCGAGCATACTTATACTGAGAATGACTTGCCTGCTTGTCTAACGATTTGCCCAGCGATTTCGTTATGTGGCGGCGGCCACATCCAAAACGGAAAAATATTGCAATTTTGCTGAAAACAGTTTTCTCAATAAACATTCTTTAACAGAAGGCAACAGCACCGCTCCGTCTTTTGCAATAAGCTTAGGTCGGATTTTATGGACCGCTCTATTGGAACACCTGGTGTGGTCCTTTATAGGTTTCGCGTAGTCGTATAAAGCGGAGTCCCCGTTCAATCATACAACGTTCCCGCATTGGAGAGCTTCTGCTGCATAAAGTAAGGAGGAGCCAAGGAAAAAAGCCACGACATTATTTCCATCCCCGCCAATAAGACCAGTGCGGAATGTGTGTTTACTTCAGTTCTTTCAGAATCTGAACACTGGTGGTGGGAATTTGCATGGCTTCTGTCCTTGTACCTATGATAATTATCATCACGCCTAGTGCCGTAAGAACTGTGCATGATAAAAGAAGGACAGTGCAGCGGGCATGGGCTGACCCAGCCGCTTTTTCTATCATTCCTGATGGGCTTGGCGATCGTTCCACGAGATAAAACATCATCTGATTTACTTCCTGACACCGAACCTGAACCCTGATCGTAACTTATTATATCAGGCAGTGAGTTGGCTTTGATCTACAGCCGGCTTTGCCGGCTGATGCCTGCACGCCTTCTTCTGTGATAAAGAATGGATTCGCTGAGCGGGCCCGGCTCCAACGCGCTTAGCTTTTTCCTCACCGGCTTTTCTTTTATACAGATAGTCAACAATCTTTGACCAATATGTTCATACGAGTAGTTCACTTATAGTGCACTGCATGATTCATGACTTATAGTGCACTGCATTTTTATATAGTGAGGTTGTAAACAATCACACATTGCCTCAAAGTGATACCAAAACATGGATTTTATTCGCGACTCTGCTAGCGGTTGATCCTTCCTCTATTCACCTTATCGCTTTGATTGGCGCTTTTATTATCACACTCGTGATGAGTTTCTACTAAACGCACTCTATGCTTTCCCTCCCGTACTCTCCCTCACTAATCCCACCACCCACATTATACCCTCCCCACTCCCACTTGCCCCACCCACTCCCATCCGCGGCCACTGCACGTGCTCGTCCACCTGCCACGCGAGCAGCTCGTGCAATGATTTGGAGTGCACTACATGGTTCTCTTATATAGTGCAGGGTGTTATCACAATCAAAACATTGGATTGATACATCTGCACCAACTGGTTTCGCCACCGGCTAGCGGTCGTATACTCTCCTACACTGACGTGTTTGAACCCGTGAAGCATTTTGCGGACGGACAGACATACATACATACATACCGACAAACCGACACACAGAATTAGTGGTTTATAGAATGTAAGGATTTCATGCTTTTTTGGTTTTTCCCTCACAGCCGTAGAGAGTCTCAGGCGTGCTAAGACTTGTCACGCTGTCTTTGTGAGAGGGTGTAGACGCGCAAACACGACTGTGCGTGGAGCTGGTACTTCGGTCCAGAGAGCACCCACTCCCTACGCACATAGCGCCTTATGTTTTACAATGTTGCGGTCTCATATTTTGTTCCATATCATTCAGATATATATTGATCGACAGCTTTGGAATCGTCAAATTTATCCACCGATCAACATTTTACCATCACTAAGCCGCCTGATGAAAGCTGCCATAGGTGAGCCCTTCTCAACTTATCTTTATGGGATTTCTTTACTAAAGCCTTCAACCTAAAAAAAACTCTACTCAGGTGAGAACTTCACTCGTGACGATCACCCAGACGTCTCCAACCAACTGTATGCAATGTACGCTACCGCAAAAGAAGTTTCGACGCTCAGGACTGTGGTAGGTTTGATTTTTGAGCGAAACTAAGGAAGCTTTATTCGCTTTTTGTGACCTCATTTGCTGAAAATCAGGATAGAAAGGATGGAAAGGTTTAGGCCGTAAGCGTTGGTCAGCTCTTTTTCTCGCAGTACACCATGGACTCTATTTCCATTCAGGACCCTGAAGGATTTTTAACTGAAAAACAGGCTTCTGCAGT